GTTCTCCCCCTTTAAAACCTTTTCACATGATGAACACAACAAATGCAATAACAAATGTAAACATTTGCACATTTTCTATTCCTTAGTGTACTGTACAGTACAACACACCAAACAACAAATTATTCTGCCCCAGCGTCCTGTCTTTGGTTTGGGACAGGCCAGAGATTCTTGTTCTCCCCCTCCTTCTCCTCTACCTCCTCCTCCTTCGTTTCCCTCCTCCTCCTCATCTTACTCCTATCCCATCTCCTCCTACTATTCCTCTTCCTTCACCTCTTACTCCTCTCCATACTGCTCTTCTTCCTCCTCCTCTTCTTCCTCCTTGTTGTCTCTGGTGTCCTCTACCTCTTCCTTCAGATTTCTCTGGAACCACTGTTCCAAAACTGAATGAACTGACTCTGGTCCTTTTATCTATCTATTGAAGCTTCTGATTGGTGTGTTACCAATTTTGAATGTTTGTGTTTCCACCTGGGTAGCTGTGTGCTAATTGAGCTCAACCTGTGCTGAGTGTTTTCTCAATGACCACATGGTGTAGGCAACGAGAAATGTAGGGATTCGTGTGTAAAAAGTTTAGAGAAATGGAGTTATGGTTTTGAAATTTTAGTTCAATAGCCTGGCTATAGTGTATAGTGCAATTAAGAAAAACTGTAAGTTTGTCTGTCTGAATATATGGAATGATCCTTGAACATGTTGAATGAAAGTCTGAATATATTAAATGAAACCTGAATATATGGAATGAAATCTGAATTTATCCATACAAATCACATCAAAAACACAAGATGAAAAGTGTGAGACTATGAGTGAATCTAGTGAAGAAATCTAGTGTCAGCAATGTACGGGCCCAAATACTGGTAACCATATCCAGTACCATTGTTCCCAATGAACACATCTGGTGTTAATAGTAATTTGTAGTTTTTATATTGACATGGGTGTATGTTATAATTAGTAGTTTTCCAAGTGGACGTTGGTCTATATTACAATTAGTTTTCCAAATTGACTCTGGTGTATATTATAAGTCGTTTTCCAAATGGAGTCTGGTTTATATTATAATTGTTAGTGTTCCAAATGGACTTTGGTCTATATTACAATAAGTAGTTTTCGAAATTGACTCTGTTGTGTATTGTAATTGGTAGTTTTCCAAATGGACTTTGGTCTATATTACAATTAGTAGTTTTCGAAATTGACTCTGGTGTGTATTGTAATTGGTAGTTTTCCAAAAGGACTCTGGTGTATATTAAAATTGGTAGTTTTCCAAATGGAATCTGGTTCACATCATAATTGGTAGTTTTCATATTGACTCTGGTGTATATTATATTTGGTCGTTTTCCAAATGGACTCTGGTGTATATTGTAATTGGTCGTTTTCCAAATAGACTTGAGTCAATATTATAATTAGTTGTTTTCCAAAAAGACTCTGGTGTATATTGTTATTGGTAGTTTTCTGAATGGAATCGGTTTCATATTATAATTGGTAGTTTTCCAAATGGATTTTGGTCTGTATTATAATTTGTAGTTTTCCAAAAGAACTCTTGTGTATATTATAATAACGCAGACAGCTGTGATCAATAGCAGAAGCACACAAAATGTCAGGCAGGGTAAACGCTCCACGGCTAAAACTCTTCTGAGACGCTTCCAGTGTGAGTTGACGCAGGCCTGAGGACGGGTCCAAACCGCCACGCAGCCTTAACGTGGCGCACACACCGCCTGTGTAAGTCTAGCCAAAGTCCTCATAGGGCAAGTCATGCCACTCGGCAGCCATCTTGGCAACGCCTCCGGGCAGCTATTTTGGACCAACAAGACCAGGCTCCTACCTGAATGAATGGGGAGTGAGCCAGAACTGCAGTTTTACTGGTGACCGAGACATAAAAACTACATGACAAGAATAAGCAGAACAATCTAAAAAAAATCTCTTAAAAAGTTTGACGACTTTGACCCAAAATAAGGTTTAAAAGCATTTTTCCTGACTGGTTATGTTAAGTGTTGTTCAGTGTTACTATCTGATGGCGCCCCTACTCAATGTAATACGGTAGTAAAGTTTGTTGTTACGGCCTGATGTTATGTCACTACGCTCTATGTGGCACATGCGTATGGACAGCAGCCATCCCTCTCTGTCTAATGATGAGATATAAAAACGTGTTCGCCTTCTTGAATAAATATGCCTGTCAAAAAGGCTAAAGAGAGATAATGACTGAAGTCTTGCTTGACATCCGGATGCGTTGATGGGAAGGTTGCGCACAACTGGTTAACAGGTTATATGCGTTACATGCGTCACTACTACCAGGCATGAGCAGTAGAAGAATAACAGACCCTTACGTCAGTGGAACCACACGATTGGCTGAAATATAATATTACCGCTTTGGCTATTAAAAGCAGATGACTGCTGGCTTTCTAGAGGGAGGGGCGGGTGGAGGTGAATGTTGTCAAATAAGTTGAGATCCCATCAGGTCGCGGTAATGAAAGCATAATCGTTCATTATGTAAGGTCTTTATACACCACTGAAAACATAGTTATGTATATTATATTGCATTTCTGTTGTAGTATCCAATATTTGTGCATTTGACTCATAACAGTTCAAAATATCAGTAGTAGTAGCAGCAGGACAGAGGGTCAGTGTCCTTCTACGGGGGAGTGCAGTGATTGGTGGTTATGTAGGGACTGAACCCTTCTATAGAATCTGACCTCTAATCCCTTGTTTTGTTACTTCAAAATAGTACTGTACCCTTCTATGGGTTTGACCTTTTATTTTGCAGACTCAAACCCAAATCAAGAACAGTGTCAAACAGATTTCTTCTTAACACATCATCGCAGCATTATTGTTCGGACACCACACTGTCAATAGATCCTCCTAAATATTACATACTGAACCTTTTTAACCTCTTCTGTTTCAGCAGGTTTTCTGCTCATGTTCATTCAGAATCTATCCCTCATATCTGTGTTCTCTGACATGTTGAAAATGTTTTTGTAATATTACGACACTAATGTCATCATTTATTGAGAATGTATAATAATTTAATTTAATAAGTTTACCTGCCCTAAACTGTGCTGTGCATTACGTTATTGCTCTATTGACATGGTAGTATTCCTTCTGACAGACACACGCCGTTTAGGACTGTACTGGACGAGATGAGGTGGTAAACAAAACTAACTGAAAACACTTCAGATCAGGCAGAAATCTCACCACAAATTCACATGCATGTTAACTTCTGCACCTCTGATAAGTGGCGCTCACAGTCTGAAACCAAAAGTTTGTGCTTCCGTTAATTGCAAAACTCTCCTAGTTATATTACCACTCTGTCTCAAACTGTATATGGGCGCGAGAGGGGGGGTCCACTTCATTCATACGCCGTATGCCGGTGTCGTATCAGCTGGGGGAGTTGATTTGTACTCAGTCGACATTATCAGTAAGACATTTATTTTTCACCGCGTGAGAAAATTGATGTGGTCTGACTACTTTCTTTTAATTGACTGTAAGCCTGCCATCTCTCCTTGCAAATAAAGTTACCACACGATGGCGGAGCTAGACTCAGCACAGTGGGGGTGGAGCTTCATCACGGGGCCCACCTGCTACAAAGTTATTTAAACCAAGTTAACATGACCCCGGACTCACTCCGAAATTCTGGTAAATGTTTGTGCTCACACCAGAAGCCTACATCCCAGAAGCGTCCCAGTGTCAAGCAGCACAGAGCAGATGTGCTGAGAATCCGGTCAATTTTCAAAATAAAATACCCGTTAAATCAGACAAATACGAAACAATTTAACTATGTAGCCTGCTTAATCAGCTCCGCTGCAGAAATGCTTAAGAGAGGCTTCCAGTGGACTTTGATGCCATAAATAAACCGCTGTGTGCACGCAGCCTCCATCCCTCAGAATTCCCATGATGCATGAGGGTGAAAGAAGTTTTGTAAAATGTGCTAATAATATTTTCCATTTGTTTGAAATACAGATGTTACTTTATGGTTTATGTTAATTAAAACATGTCTGCTTAGAATATAGTGTTGGTTTACCAAGTAGTATGTAGCTGCAGTACCGGAGGGTGCAGTTTCAAGACCGTAATCCTAGGACCGGAACAACAGCCTCCGGTACTGCAGCTACATAATATTGGATTTACCATTTAAAACAGGAGTGAAGGGACTATTTCATTTGATAAGAGCTGCTGAATCTTCCCAATGCAGCATAGCGGCATGCAGCGTTGTTGTTCGTTTGTGTTCAGAACACCTGAGCTTAACTTCCTGGCCCACGTAAGGGCCCCCAGCCGGGGCCCTGTGTCAGCCGCCCCCACGCACCCACACTACCTCTGCTCGGGTACCTCTGTACCATGGACTTAGGCCTGCTGAACTTCTGTCTGCTGAGAAGTATTCTCAAGTGTAACTTAAACAAGCCATTCCATGAAACACACTAAACAGTTTCTGATGTTCGAAAAGTACACAAAAAGGATTTTGGGACTTTGTGGCAATGAATTCTAGAAAGTCCAGTATTTGCTTATGCATAGATAAAAAGGCAAAGTCAGCATTATGGTAGCTTCCTTGTTGTGGATGTTGCACAAAACGGCCAACCGCCACGTCCTGTAGAATATGCGTCAATCATGCTTGGCTGCTCCAACCATACTTTGTACCACATCTGCTTCTCCTGTCTTTACATACAGTGGCAAAATCTTGATGATTAATATGTGGAACAACTGGTGGTTACCTTAATGGCAAATAAAGGAAAACTATTGCAGTCAAAAAACAGAAATGATTTCCTCTGGGCTGTGTTTGGTAGACTGACTGTCATTTAAAAGGTCAGGACCATGAAGCATAATACTAGCACTTCCTGTCTCCCACATTGCCTGTTTATTATGCAATGACACGTAATAACGGGCATGCTGTTCTGGGAATGATATGTGTATTGCAATAAAACTACCAAGACTGCAAATATCAGCATTTGGGTTCCGTTTAAAAAAAAAACCAACTGTTATAATGATTTGCTCCTCCTTGTTCGTCTGAAGTAGAGAATGTGTCAGTACTATTAAGACTGACTTTCATCAGTCATTCACACAACTCTTCAATCCTCTGCAAGAAATGCATGGATCAAGTCTTCCGCCGTAAGACTCCCATCTTTTTAACCATGAAGATAACTGGTACAGCCTTTGTGCTCCTCATCCAAACATTGCAGTGTTTGGCTTCTGATGGTACAGTATTCAAAACAATTTGGAGTTTTTTGTGAGATTGTTTGTATTTGCACTCTACTCTGTGTTTGAGACTGTTGTGTGCTTTACCATTTGTCATTGTGTATGCTGTCAGTGTGCGTCACCTGTGGTAAAAAACTGTTTTCAGCAGTTAAGTATTGAGGTGATTGCTGTTTTATTTTTGGTATTAAGATTTTACATACATCCAATTGTTGTAACTTTGTTTGCTTATTAAATTTCTGTTTATTATGTAAATAATTTTTAGTAGTAGTAAATACCATTAAATATGAGAAACAACTGACACAACCCCAGTGATGAACTGTTGTTAGGGATATAGGGTCTAGGCAGGGAAAGGTCCGTTGGAGGGTCCAATGGGTTGACTAGCCTGAATTCGGACATTGTTTTGATTTTATTTCATTTCCTGAGGTTTTCACATGTATTGGCTAAACCATATCTCTGCATAAACTGATAAAGATGTCTTTTCTTAATTAAAACTGGAGTAGTAGTAGTAAACTGGAGAGGGGCCTGTTCTGGATTCTCTTGAGTTCTTCTGAAATAAACAGTGAAATTCTTTCTCAACAGATTCACCATTTCAACTAACTAACACAGCCACTGGTTTTTGTTTGGTTAAAACTAATAACCACTGCACTGACATACGTTGGACAACTGGGGACCGACTTCTTGTTCAGCAAAGGAAGAAGTGCCTGGGAGTCCAGGGGGAAAGCGTGGGGAGTGAAATAAGCCTCTACGATTGTGATGAAAACAGCGACGTCCAAAAGTGGGAATGCAAGAATAACACAGTGCTCGCCCTCAAAGGCCGAGAGCTTTACATTGAGCTCACTGCAGATAATACAGCAGTTCTCTCCAAAACAATTGGACCCAATAACCACCTCACAATCTCAGGGACATCCAGCGGGGCTTGCACAAGAACATACAGAGGTACTGTACAGTATAAAACAGTGTTGTTTTTGAAGGACTTGTACTTGACAGGATTTGACATTCTCAGGAATCCATCCTGCATTTAAAATTTAACATCACGTTTTGAAGTGGTTTGTCATGTGTTGTTAGGTAAATCACTGCAGGTACACACTAATCTTTTTTTTCTTTCATCTCTTAGAATTTTATGCCATTGGTGGAAATGCAGCTGGAATGCCGTGCATGTTTCCCTTCCTGTACCATGACCAGTGGTACTCTGACTGCACTACGGCTGACTCCTCTGAAAAGGGTCTTTGGTGTGCAGTTGAAACTAAATATCAAAATGAACGCTGGGGCTACTGCCCAGTTACTTGTGAGTACTGCATGAAAAGCTGTGAAAAATATTTATACCGCAATGAGAGAAGGATTTTTAGGATGCTAGTGTATACTGATTATATACTGATATACTGACTGAAGGTTTCAGGAGACAGTGTTGCCAACTACTAAATTCACTCCTTAATTTGCATATCTGTGACATCATAATGTTAAAATAAAGTCAAGCTAAATGTAACTGACTTTTTATTAGCTTTATCATTAACTATTATTGAGTTCTGCCTATTTTGCTCTCCACACTCCTCTTTATCTGCTTGCAACCAAAGCCTGCTTAAACATGATTAGGCAATATTACTCGGACTACAAATGGACTACCAACAGAAACCATAATGCATCCGATACTAAAATCTTGTCCCCTGCCTACAGATTCTCCATTGCTTCAACACTATAACCAGGCTATTGAACTAAAATTTCAAAACCATAAATCCATTTTTCAAAAAGCACACCCATTTCTCTAAACTCCACACACACATCCCTACATTTCTCGTTGCCTACACCATGTGGTCATTGAGAAAACACTGACATTCAATATTTTTCACTCAATCGGCACAGGTTGAGCTCAACTAGCACACAGCTACCCAGGTGGAAACACAAACAATTGATAACACACCAATCAGAAGCTTCAATAGATAGATAAAAGGGCCAGAGTCAGTTCATTCAGTTTTGGAACAGTGGATCCAAGGAAGGAAGAGGTAGAGGACACCAGAGACAACAAGGAGGAAGAAGAGGAGGAGGAGCAGTAAGGAGAAGAAGTAGGAGGTGAAGGAAGGGGAATGGTTGGAGTTGGAGAAGGAGATGGGATAGGAGGAAGATGAGGAGTAGTAGGAAGCGGAGGGAGGAGGAGGTTGAGGGAAACGAAGGAGGAGGAGGGAGAGGAGGAGGAGGTGGAGAACAAGAATCTCTGGCCTGTCCAAGACCAAAGACAGGACGCTGGGGAACAATAATTAGTTGTTTGGTGTGTTGTACTGTACAGTACACTAAGGAATAAATAATGTGTAAATTTACACATTTCTTTTGTTGCTTTCATCATGTGAAAAGGTTTTTGAGGAGGAGAACTACAAGGAAAATTACTAATAGTTTTTGTAGTATTTTTTTGAATTTATCTCACCAGTGTGTAAGTGTGTTGTGTGTTTTTGAGGGCTTGTGTGTTATGTCTGAGGGCAAAGTTTGGTTTTTCAGCAAGATTGAATGGTTTTGAGTGGAAAGCTTAATTTTGACCTGAAAATAGGATGCTTGCGGAATTGGGTGAGAAGTTGTGGATTTGTGTTTAGAGTTTTGAGTAAAAGAGGCATAATTTCAATAAATGTGCTTAAGCAATCGAGAAAAACTGTAATAAAGATGAAAATACAAAACTTTAGGTTACAGAGACTATTATACTCTCTTATACTAACATATCCATATTTTTTATGTACATTTACAGCCAAAGAGGGCTGGAAAATACACCCAACAACAGGAGCGTTTTACCAGCTCAATGCAAACTCCGCTCTGACCTGGTCCCAGGCTGACACCAGCTGCAAACAGCAGGGGGCCTCCCTGCTCAGTATCACAAATCCTCACGAGCAGGCTTATGTCACAGGTAAGGAGCCACTGACTCTATACTCAATGTGTTGATAAATGGAGCATGAAGTTTTTCCATTAATGGATAAAATACCACTCTTTACTGTAATTAGATATTCTGAAATGCATTGTTGCATTGAAAAATCTGAATGTGTACATGTTCCAAAATAATCATTGAGCCTTTCCAACGACTAATGGCACAGGTCAGGTGACTTATGGTCATTATTGTATCATTTTTGTTTCCCATACCCCCAACAGCATTACTAGGGACAGGGGGCAATAAGCTTTGGACTGGGCTGATTTTGGATCCAGAACATGGCTGGAAATGGTCTTCTGGGAGGCCTTACCGCTATCTGAAATGGGACTCAGGTAGGTATTTCCACCACTTTGAGACTTTGTGTTTCTATTTGGATATAATAATGGTAATATATCATCAGTCAACACCTGCAAGCTCAAGCAGAGGGAAGCTGGCTAGTAAAATACTCCTGATTTAAACCTGTGACTACCAAACAAACATCATTAAAACATTTGTGTTTTTTTCTTAATGTTATCAGAGTTTTCTCTACAATCTCAAACCTTTGATTAATATTAAATTGAATTTAAATTAAAGTGAATATGTGCTATGTGTGCAAAATCAACATGTCTAGCATAACTGTCATCTTGTTTTAGGACATCCTCTTCCTAATCCGGGATACAACTGTGCAATTTTTGATCCTGCTGTACAGTACTCCTGGCAAAGTTCACCTTGCAGCAAGAAACTTGGGTACATCTGTTACAGTGAAGTGGCTGAGCAACAGCCTACGCAAGGTAAAAAAGAAATCTATTCTACACATTTCCTGGGAACGATATAGCTGTATTTTGTACCTATCAATTAGGCTTTTGCAGTATCTATTATGTATACATCCATTTTCCATACCTTCTTGACATTTCACTGGGGTAGATACAGTATATTACTGTAATTGTGTAATTAAACAGATAGGAGGTAAGAACCTTCTTCCATAGATTCTTGTGAGCGGCAGGTGAATGCAGCAGAGAAAGGTGAGTGGGGAAGTCTGTGAAGATTCTCAGTCATCCAGGTCATAGTTATCCAACGAAGGTTAAAATCAAGGGCAACTGGACTTGGTTGAAGATACTGGAAGACGTTGTCGAACACTAACGAACCAGCGGTATCGATGCCCCTTGCCAACGACCCCACTGAGGTTAAATAGCTGAGTTTCCCTGCCAGTCAGTCAGAACTGAAGAAGTCCTTTGGATGGGGGACGAAACGTCTTCCAGTATCTTCAACCAAGTCCAGTTGCCCTTGACTTTAACCTTCGTTGGTGAGTGGGGAAGTTTAACAGTAAATCTTCAGTGTAGTGTTTGTCTGCGAATGAAGGCTGAAGCTGAAGCTCCAGTGTGTGCGTTGTTTACTAAATGCTGGAAAATTGAAAGAGATAATCGTGTTGTTACGTTGAAGATGATGTCAGGCAGTTTCATGGGGCGTTGCTTGCCTCCGTTGTGCACTACAGTATAACATCTCAATATAGCATCTCCGTATCAGTTTAATAGAAAGAGGAGCCGTCGTATTTTTGAAGTACCGTTGGGAGACCGTAACATCTTGATACTACCCAATACTGTCGATCAATCATTGGATTTCTTTGTTTCTTTTCATGATCAGCTACTGAGACAGGATTTTGTTCAAGTCCTTGGACTCCCTACAATGGTCATTGCTTCCACCTCAGTCGCACTCAGAAAACATGGTCTGATGCCCAAAGACAGTGTCGTAATGATGGAGGAGACCTGGTCAGCATCCGCAATGTGGAGGACCAAAGCTTTGTCATCTCTCAACTTGGATATGGTACGTGAAGACAATAAAAACAAACAAGTTTACCTGTAAAGAAGAAACCCTTACAACAAATATTACCAACCTTTTAAGACCTCCGGCCTTTCTTTAGGATTTTCTTGTGATGCACTGCCCTCATCAGCTACCACAAAAAAGAATCACAATATACAATCATTCATTGTCATGTGCTGAGCTGAAGTTAACAGATCCTGACGCATCTTTTACTTACTGGATGATGGTCTAAACAATTAGCCCACCCAATTATGAATGGCCTTTGTAATTATTTCTTAGCAATGTTGTTATTGGAGGTGGTCTTTCAGGCAAAGGACAGAAGAATATTTTTTCTTTAAAAAAACAAACAAACAAACATTTACCACATGAGGAGGAGATTGGAGTGGTGGTGGCAGCAGCAGCACTGACATGAGTGCATCAGCAGACTAGAGCAATAATAAGAAGTGTAAACCTTCAGAAATATGATTGGATGCTACTAGCCAGCTGGTAGCCAAACAGATAAAGAATGAGTCAGTGATATAGAAGCATAAATGAACCAGCTGATTCCAATCAACTAATGCAAGCGTGACTTCAGTGCTCTGTCTGAACAAATGCTATCTTCCATTCTATAAATAACAGGCATTGTAGGCAAGTGCAGTACAGTGAGTTCACCACAAAAAGGACATGAAGGCCTGGAATTAATTCTTTTGATTGGGCAAGGCCACTTTGGCCTTTGATAAATACAAATTTATTGGGGCAACGTGGTAAAACTGGAGGGCACCAAGGCCAAAATCAATGGTGCAATAATAATAAGTGACAATCAACCAATTAGGAGTCAGTTTATTGAAACAGGTAGCACTGAGTTAATTTAAACTGTACACCGAATGTTACATATTAATTTTTAGGCAAATATTTTACAGAAAGATTATTTACTTTTGTTCATGTCTGCAGCATCCGCTGATGAGCTTTGGATTGGACTGAATGACAGAAAGACAGAGGGGTTGTTTGACTGGATTGACCACACTACTGTCAGTTTCACTAGCTGGGAATTTGGGAAACCTTCTGTCTCTACTGAAATAAAGGACTGTGTTCTCATCAGTGGAGAGGTAAGAAGCATATATGTAGTATAGTGCACATATTACAATTATAGGCACATAACATACACTTATTGAGAGAAAATGGCATTAAAATGCTTTCAAACCTGATTATCAGTAGTCAGGCAGCAAAAAGGCAAATTGTTTAGCTACACATCACAGTTTCTTTAATTGTACATACATTGCCTACAGTATATGTCTGTATGATTTTATATTTGTACATTTTAAGTACTGACGTTTTTGTTCGATGTTTAAAATACCAGTACATTCACTGTAGTACTTTCCAGTACATTTCTCCACATACATGTTATGGTTGTTGCAGAATGGAAACTGGGCTGACCGTGTGTGTGAAGAGAAGCATGGCTTCATTTGTATGAAGATGAGTGCCTCAAAACCCACTGGAGATGAAGTGGAGCAGGATGTCGGCTGCAAACCTGTGCGTTAACTTTACTTAATTTTATCTGTTTGAAAACTGTTTATCTCTTCTTCATGAAATAATCCCCAAAGTTTAACCTGGGGGTTGTACCTGAACTTCCATCTGCCTTAACTATGTTTTCCAACAATCCAGGGCTGGAGAAGACATGGCTCATACTGCTACTTTATAAGCACACAGATCAAAACTTTTGATGAAGCTAAAGATGACTGCAAAAGTTCAGGTTCTTACTTAGCTGATGTTTCAAATGGGTAAGAACAATTTCTTTAATTCCAAATGTTCTAAGCATGTTTTTTTTTTACCTAAATGTCTAGTATTAACAAATACAATTTAAACCATATAATGTTTTGTTGCAGTACAAAATTCTGACACCAGAATTCCTATGATCTTGCTTGTGCAAACATTTCCAGGGTGGATAATGCATTCCTCGTCAGCTTGGTGGGGTTGAGACCAGAGAAATACTTCTGGCTGGGCCTCTCAAACCAGAAAAACATTGACGAATTTGAGTGGACCAACACAGACTCAGTGAGATTTACTCACTGGAATGCTGAAATGCCAGGTAAGGAGAAATTTTAAACTTCATATGTGGCAGATAGCGGCTTCACAATTGACATTTCACAATTTTACCTTCAACAATGCAAGGTCACCAACAGGGCTGTGTTGCCATGAAAACTGGGATTTTTGCTGGCCTCTGGGATGTGCTGCCCTGCAACAATAAGGTGAAATACATCTGCAAACACCTGGCAGAGGGCGCGGTTTTGACCCCTCCACCACCCACTCGTGCCCCTACCAGGTGTGTTGACGGCTGGACTCCAATAGGATCAAGAAACTATTGCTTCAAGGTACAGGTCTAAAAATAAAATCCTCCGCCTAAAGATCAATTCAGTTTACGATTTTTGGTTTAGTAATTTTATTTCCGTCCTTTCAGCCTGACTTATGTGATTGAATTTCTCCTCTCTGTTAGCTGGTTACTCAGTAGTGTTAATATTTTAATATTTTATATACTTAAATTTTTTCCTCACTCAAATATAACTATCCAAAAAGACAGTTGAGAGTTTGTCCCTTTAAATGACTCATCAGAGCTTGTTGTGAAGTGACACTCCCAAACCATGTTGAAGCTCTATGTCTTGTTTTTAAGTGGTTTAAAGAGTCCTCTTCAGAAGAGAGGACGTGGTATGAGGCCAGAGATTACTGCAAGGCCATCGGAGGAGACCTGCTCAGCATCCACAGCGAGGCTGAGCTACAACAGCTACCAGGACGGTATGACCTTTCAAAGTAGAAAAAAATACAAAAATGTTTCTTCTTTTAACATTTTAAAAACAGATTTCATATTTAAATCTTTAATATACATTTGTCCATTATAGCCATGAAACAGTCTGGATTGGACTTAGTGCCCCTGACCCAGTCACCGGTTATGTATGGAGTGATGGATCCCCAGTGAGTTAGCAGTTTTCTGCTTTAATAGTTGAGTAAATAATTTTTAGTTTAGGGGACTCGATAAAATACACAATATAATTCTAAATCACTGTGTTTGTATTGTTTGCTTTTGTTTACAGGTAAACTTTCAACACTGGGAGGATGGAGAGCCAAACAATAAAAACAACGTAGAGTCTTGCACTGAATTCAAAATGTATAAGCGTAGTAGCAGTGGGTCTTGGAACGATGTGCACTGTGAGACGAGCCATAACTGGCTGTGCCAGATCCGTGCAGGTAAAATGAGGGACAGAAACCTTCTCTTTCTCATTTGTTTGGTTACTGTACCAAGGTATCAAAGAAGAGCATGTAACACTTTTTTAACCTTTGCTGAAGGTTATTTTGAGCAAGCTTGGCTTTCTAACAAAGCCTTCCTCAATTCATTTTTTGGTGAAACTATTCTCAACTGCCTACTATCACTGCAGTGCTCTGTTCAGTGTTCTGAATTATCTTCTGGTTATGCCCTTACAGGAGTGACTCCAAGTCCACCTCCAGAACTTTCTCGAGGTACGTGGGCCATACAAGGAACAAAAGTGGCATAGGCACACACACAGTGGCCCTCATTTATCAATCTTTCGTAGAAACGGGCGTATTTTTGTGCGTGAGATTGGCCCTCATTTATGAAAAGTGCGTACACCAAATTTCCAGCGTACACCTGGCGTACACCCAAAACCATAATGACTTTGAGATTTATCAATATGGACGTTGGCGTACGGCGTAAGAGCAGTGAATTGAGCGCGATTGTGGCGGAGTAAAAAACTCTTTTGCTTGTGAGAAAACGTTTAAAGTAAGGTAGTATAATCCCTTGATGAATCGTTTTCTTCACCTGCACAAGCGTCGGCCTCTGTACTGTTCCTCATCCCGCATCACTCTACAAACAAACGCAATAACCAAATGCCCAGACCAGGATCTTTTTGCCAGCAGACCGCCCGGTCGTAAGCCACTCAAACCTTAATTTAGTGAATAATTATTTATATTTTTATATTATATATATGGGTCCTTTGTGTCAATTGATTAAAAAACAAAAGTCATTAGTAGCCTATCTTATATGTCAGGAGAGAGACCTGACTGGCACCCCAGACATTAATAAATTAAGAGTCAAACTGTCACAACACGCTAAAACATGTCATCAACATGGAAGTTCTTCACGGTTCTTGGGCAAGAAACTGAACCCCAATTTGCTCCTAAAGGTAATCAGTGAATGAATGTGTGAATGATTAGTTCCTTTCTGATGTGCGTTGCTAAAAGGTGCTGTAGTAAGAGTGATACTTAATCCGCCCATAAGCCGTGTTTCCCCACACATAACGTTAGAATTTACTTAAAGTAGACTAGGCCTACATATAGCGACCCATTTCAGGACTTTGCAGAGAAACACAGAGAGAGAGTGAGAGACGTTTTCTTGTATTACATTAGAAGACGCAGGGACAGTGCATATTTTACAAGCATGGACCAGGTAAAGCAACAGTGAACACAACTGTCGGTGCTGTTAAGAAGTGCAAAAAGTGCGTGTGGAAAAAATCCAAAGCGAGTGTTTTTTTGGGTCCTTATAAAACATACTGATGACAAATACATACAAATAAGACATTCACCCAGGATCCAGTGACGGCTTTTTATACAGTTCACCCAGTGACGGTTGTATAATTGCGGTTAGCTCACCTCTGATGGCTCGCTTTTAACCAACGGGGGTTAGCTTAGGGACCATCAATAAATTCAAATTGTGAAAACAGTGTTATGGGAAAATCATTATTTATTTCAATAGATTCCAAGTCATGTGACGCAGGGACTTCAAACCAATGCCGAATTGTAGTACTACACTGGGCAAATGAGACACACCCCTTCATATTTCATTTGAGTGCATTTTTTATTTTATATTAATATTTATTCATAATTTATGGAAAATAATGCCTTTTTTTTCAATAGCGTCCAAGTCATGTGACACAGGGACTTCAAACCAATGCCGAATTGTAGTACTACACTGGGCAAATGAAACACAAATCTTTATGTTTGATTTGAGTGCATATTTTATTTTATATTAATATTTATTAGTATTTTATGGGCAAAATTTTTTGCCTAGCCTTTTTAGCTAACAAGCAACTAAAAAAATCTGAACCTACACATGTACTTCAGTATATTTCTAACATGTTTGCAGATTACAATAAGACCTCAGACGGGTGGCTGGAATGGAATGGGAATCAGTATTATATTAACAGCATGTCGATGGCCATGGAAGAAGCTCGTCACTACTGCCAGCAGAAGCATGGTGACTTGGTAACTATCAACAGTGAAGCTGAAAGTGTCTTTCTGTGGAAACAGGTGAGCAGTGACATTAAAATCCTGACATTAATCGTTAGCTATAGCATTTAATCTCAGAAACAGACTGTATATAAGAAGTGGACGTAGCCTCTGAGTCTGAAGAGTGAAGCCTATGCGTTAGGTGTCTTAAACCTGCATTCTTTCTTATGGCCAGCAGGGGGAGACTCTACTGGTTGCAAAAACGAGTCACAGAAGTCACTGAGAAAAACAAGTTTATATTCTCAATCGCTAGTTTCAAGTCTTCTTTAATACAGCATGATGTTCATTTTGTAAATTATAATCCCATTTAGAGTGAAGTACATAAAAAAAAAAAAACAGCGTATTGCTTTAGGATGTGGCTACCTTGTGATTGACAAATCGCTACCACAGTGACCTGGCAATCAGGACAGAGATGTAGCAATGTGATCCTACCCAGCTCCACCCTCTCGTTAAAATATAATAACTTCTAGTTCCAACAAAACAAGATGGCTGTGGCCAAAAGGTAAAACTCAAGGCTTCCAAACAGTAGCCCACAAACCAGTCAGTTAAGTCATTGCGGCTACGTCCACTTCTTATATACAGTCTATGCTCACAATGTACTGTAATGTAAGTACTGTTGGTTTTACCATGTGCCTCTGTTTATGTTTGTAGATATCCAAAGGTTATAGTTCTTACTGGATAGGCCTGACTGTAGATCTTGATAGTACATTTGGGTGAGTATGAATTAAATAATAGATTAAATGAAATTGAGGATTAAGTATAAAAGTATCAATTTGATGGGTTGAACAATGAGTTATGCTTTATATAATTTCATTGGAGCATTTTGAATAGTTACTGCTGCAAGGTTGGCCTGATACCAGAAGTGCTCAACCGGACTGTCAGTCAGATATTTGTGCCATTTGTAAATATCATTAATTTGGTTGCTCTAGCATCTGTGGCACAGAAATTAGGTACGTGATTGGTTTAGCAGAACTTTTCAAAGAAAAACAGCTGCCTGCCCTGGCAGGTAAGGAGGCTGATGAGAGTGGAGTTTGAGAGTCAGAAAACCAAAACAATGATCTAAAACAGACTAAAGAGCTCTCTAGAGCTCAGTGGTACTGTAGGGTAGAGTGGTAGTTCTGTAGATTAACCATTACATGCAAATTCTTACACATTACATTCATTTATAAAAGTATTGATTAGTGCAGCTTCTTTAAGCAAAATTCAGTGGATTCAGCTGCCTGGATTCATACCGAAATGGGTTTTTCAATAGCCGCTGCTAATATTTAGAGAGCATGGCTGTTGTTGGCTGATATTTATTGCCAATTTCAAAATAAAGAAAAGTCATGTATAATTCCATTATTCCATGCAGAGTGAGTACAATGTAATATACATGGTTATTACAGAAATGTGGTGTTTTAGATGAAATTGAATGAAATAGAAAAATACACTGAATATATATACTTATAAGTTAGTGTGGCTTTTGCCAATTGGATCAACGATTGAAGGGATGATCAGCGATTGTTTTTCATGTGGTGATATTAAAGCGATTTTAACTAACTCACTATTAGAACTAAAGAAAGGAGGAAGAAAGGTACTTTATTGTCACATAATGTACATGTTGCAAAATTCACTTTCTGCATTTAACCCATCCCTCGAGAGTAGTGGGCAGCCGCTGTGCAGCCCCCAGGGACCAACTCCAGATCTGTATCAGTGTCCCTGGTCAATGGCACTGACTGATGAACCTGACATGTTTTTGATGACATAAAAACGGTCTCTAAAATCTGTACCACACTGCTGTGTTTCCCATTCACTGATTTATTTGTGGTGACAAGACACGGCATCAACGCAGACTGCCACATACTATATAAGCTACTATTTAATATGAGTAAATTCATTACTCATATTAGCTTTATTGGCATGAATGTGTAACAACAATATTGCCAAAGCATCATACAAACTACATAAGAACAATCAACCCCATAAATTTCATCAAATAAGTAATTAAAGCGTAAAGTTATCAAAGCGTATGTGTGTTTGTGTTAAAAAAAAACGCCGCCACAGTTACATGGTAATTATGTGGGAAACACTGCACTGTGCATTTACAATTGCTTCTGGTTGTTTCTCTTAAAGCTAATAAGCCTATTTCTTCCATTCTGGCATTTCACTGGCATGCTGCAATGTAACACTGTCCCCTGGCAATCAGATCGACAATCAGTGATCTCAAGTAGCCATGATTAGATGATATTAAAAAAGAGAAGATTGCCCAAGGTTGTCAGAAGCAGTGTTGGGCAAGTTACTCAGAAATTGTAATAAGTTACTTATCACTCCTTTTAAAAAAAAGTAATATTACTTTACTTATTACTGGGTGATAAAAGTATTAGTTCCGTTTCTCATTACATTACTATATTACCTTCACTACCACCCACCCCCCAAACAAAGGAGTCTTTTTAACTAATATCAAATTCATTTATTCCAAATTTCTTTATTGAAGTTTTTACATAGACTTGAACAGGTAACAGGGTAGTATAAAGAGATAGTGAAAGCATGTCATATTCATAACAGCAGAAAGGAGTATGTTTTTTGTTTTGTTTTTTTTACAATACATATGAATATGAAATTATAAAAAAACAAGTAAATCCAGCTTTTGAACTACTGTTATTCTGCACATGTATTTATGAGAGCAGTATTCAGTGCTTTTACAAAACGTTGAACACCACTCTCTTCCGACGAGTCCAAACATCAGTAGCGGCTGGAGTTTCTTTCTGTTTCATGTTGCTGTGCTGAGATGCTTCAATAAATTAAATGCATAATTGTTTGCGGTTGAAAGGTTTTTGCTGGTCGCACAAAGTTTACAACGGACTACAATGTTCTTTGCATCTTAGACTGTGACACAATAATGGCAGTAGCTACTTACAGCTGTCGAAAGAATGGCAACCTCCCTCGTTCTCTATTCGTTCTTTAGTTTTTAGGCAGCTGACTTGAACAACATTGTCGCTGACCTGCCGCATAGTCGCGCAGTCACGTCAGAATGGTGCTTCAGTTACTTGGATTTGTAATTGTAATTATATTCATCACTCTGTAACGCGTTACTGCCCAACACTGGAGAAGTGACGTCATTCAACTGTATTCTCTACAGTACAATAATATAAATTTAACACTAGCCAGTTATGGTTTTAGATAAGATGTCATTTAGGAATGGGGGAAACATGTAAACATTTAGAAAACATGATGGAAGGAAATTTAGTTCTGGTAACAAATTTTTTTAGGGGGAGCACTAAAATTGTTCCATATCAGCCACACTGACAAGGTGGCTTACAGATGCGTCTGCAGACATTTTATGTTTAGCCGCCTTGTTAGTGCAGGCATCGGTGTGAAAGATTCAACCAGAGCTCATTTTCTCAAACTATTCTGCAACACAACCATTAATAATATTAAAAAAACAAATGGAAATGAAAGTAAGAGTAGGCAATGAATGCATCGGAAATTTTCAAGTAATTATATTGTGTTCCAAAAGGTGGATGGATGGTTCTCCAGTGGTGTTTCAAAGGTGGGATGAAAATCAACCTGACTTCCTAAACAATGATGAGAATTGTGCTGTCATGAAGGGCTCTATGGGTGAGTAACGTAAAATGTATATACACAATATATATTAAATAGTCTGAGATTAGTTTTTATTTGTAAAAATGCATATTGCTTTTGTTGAAATATTTATTGAATATTTTTGGTTTGGCTCACAGGGTTCTGGCATGATTATAATTGTGGGTATGAGCACAAATCCATATGTAAACGCAGTGGTTCACCACCTGTCAACACCACTGTAGCACCGACAGTTCCTCCAACAGGTGGTTGTCCACAAAACTGGAAAAAATTTGACTCAAAGGTCAGAGGTCATTTTTAATTCTTTAGATGTTTGGCCGCTTGGTCACAGAACTGGTGTTGCATAGAATTAAAATCTCAGTGCCTGCAATGAAATGAACCTTCAGTCTGACAAATCACTGATCTATATCTGCATTAAAAAAAAAAAGCTACTGCTTGTTGTATCACACAAAGCTGTTGATTTTCACCTACAGTGTTACAACATCATTACCAGCCAGAATGAGACATGGGAGGGAGCGAGGACACAGTGCAAAGCAATGGGAGGAAATCTGGCCTCAATTCTTTCAAGACATGTGCAAGGTTTGTTTGGAAGATTTTTTCTTCAGAAAACTTTTTTTTATTGTTGTAGAGAAATGCATATGATTCTCCTTTTCCACCCCTGATGAGTTTAATCCACTTTAATCTTGAGAAGCTGCAAGGCTGCAGTTTCTATTAATTAGTCACTGTAACTTCCACTGTACATTTACAGGCTTATTGTTGACCCTTTTCTGTCTGCTCTGCTTGCATGCCATTCACTGGTCTTGTGCGTTCCCACCGACAATTCCACGGGTCGATTCCAAGTACTATTTACATTTCCGTCCTGCAAAGTTCACACACAACTGTGCACATCACAGCCGCTGCTGGTGCTCTGTCTCACTTCCACCATCATCTTGGGTGTTAGGAAACACTGATCAACATTTTTTCACAATTATATGAACCTAACAACTTATTGATTAATAGAGATGCACTGATTGCATTTTTCCTAGCTGATTCCGACTCCCAGTACATATATTTTTTTTATTCCAATTTTCTTTCTTTCTAAGAACTATAACTGACAGCATACACAAACATTTTTGTAACTTTCTTAATTCACAAATTTTCTTGATAAGGATCCCATTGGCTTTCCTGACTGGGTTCATTCAACTGTATGTTCATTATAAAACACTGACTATTAAATAACTACCAAAACTGCACCAGGATACAGGACCTTCTCTCACTTAGACACATCTCAAATATAAAAGTGCTCCAGGTTAGGCTGCTGGACAGAGCTTTCTGTTCAAATAAAATCTAACTGAAAATAAGCTGCAGAAAAACACTGCTCAGTGTTGAGTGACATTATCCACCTTACTTTAGTGTTTACTAACTACAGTAATCTGCTCACAAGCACCTCTCTCTCTTTCTACTTCTATCTGTCTGTTACTTTGACTTAATTTGTCAGCAGTTTTATAAAGATCACTTGCGTTTTGAATGTTTTCACCTGCGATTCCATTTCTGTTATTAATTTTTTTTTTTTGTTTAACGATCATGATCACTGTGGTAATGAATGACGCAGCATCAACAGCTGTGTTAACTGTTGCTTAATTGGACGCTGCTCGGCCCCGGTCACCGGTCATGGGCAATTAATGAAAAAAATTGTTAATTGCAGCCCTACACACTGTGTGTGTGTGTGTGTGTGTGTGTACAGTGTTTCCCGTTACACTTGTAACACTGAGTCACATGACACCGGGGAGGGGAAATGGCTAATAGGGCCTAATTTAGACATTTTCACTTAGGGGTGGACTCACTTTTGTTTTAGACATTAATGGCTGTGTGATGTTATTTTGAGGGGACAGCAAATTTACAAGCCGTATACTCACTACTTTACATTGTAGCAAGTGTCATTTCTTCCGTGTTGTCACATGAAAAGATGTAATCAAATATTTACAAAACTGTGAGGGGTGTACTCAACTTTGGGAAATACTGTACATATTTTGCAACCATGTAATTTGTAATATGGTTATAACGGTTAGTTTTCTGTCCATGTAGAGTGAACTAGATTTCTGCGTGTTTATATGCTCTGATAATGCTAATCCATCACATCTTTATACGCGTCCATCATGATTCCACATTCCAACTTAAGAGCACATGAACACACACTGTCGGAAGAACGACTTCACAGCTCGGGAAATGGGACTATCGGAGGACCATGAGAATGCATCGTGAGGCACTGGTTGCAATTTGCAACCTTCACCACTAGATGCCACTAAAACGTACACACTGAACCTTTAAATCATCAATATATGTTTTGTTTTTAGTGTTTTTGACAACTAAAATGGCTAAGGAACCTACCAAAGACCTGTGGATTGGTTTGCATAATATAAAAGGTGGCCAATTTTATTGGACTGATGGGCGACCAATGAGATACAACAATTGGGGATTTGAAGTAAGTGGACACTGTAATTTTTGTTGTATAATATTAAGTACGTGAGTTATGTGTTGGTCTACAAAATACAACTTTTTTTTTTTGTATTTTAAAATTTGACTGTTTCTCTATTGTTGCAGAATCAACATCGTCTAATTTATCACAGGCCTTTTATGGTAACATGTTTAAACTTTACTGAACTTGAGGCATAACTGTGCTGTGCTGTACTGTGTACACTCAACCTTTATGCAGCATTGTGATCAATGATATGCATCTGTATTGTTTATAATACATCTTTGGCTGTACTGCTTAAAATTTCTGACATCTGGATTTTCCATTGCAGCATGATTACGATTTCTACAGTTTACATCGTTTTCAGGTAAAACATTATTGATCATTTGCTTGTGATGTGCAATAACACTTCATTTGTCTTGACTTGGAGCCAGAATACATTACACTTTTATGACAAGCTGGGGTTACACCTCTGGTACACGTTTGTTCAGAATTTCTGATGAATTCTATGCAGCTGAAAAGAAAATCTTAAAGAGGTGGTATTATGCTTTTTGGCCTTTTCCCTTTCCTTTATTGAGTTTCCCTTTTTGTGCATGCAATAAGTTTGCAAAGTGAAAAAGCCAAAGGGATTTCCCATCTCCCTGAAAATGAACATAAAACCACCTCTTTAAAAGGTCATATTATACTCATTTTCAGGTTCAAAATCTTATTTAAGGGTTGTACCAGAACAACAGGTTTACATGGTTTCAAAAAACACACACTGCACTTTAATCCAGCTCTTCTCTTCTTTTCACCCTGTGTGTTGAACGCTTCATTATAGCTATGGAGTGGTACATCTTACTTATCTTATCTTTGTTGGGAGTTGCGCAGTTCCTAGTTAAGGACTACTAGCCAATCAGAAACAGAGTAGGGTGGTAGGGTTGGGCCTGAAAGATGGTTGAACAGGCATCGTGCCCCGCCCCTTGTAATGTTCATTTCTTTTTCAATTATGACAAATTGATGTGATGAACAGCTAGCTTGTGCTATTCATTTTATTTTTCCACCCCACGTTCTGGTGGGAACATAAAAGTAAGTTCCTCTCTCTGAGTTAACACAGTAAATTATACAGCACCGCCTTGTGGCTACATGGATAAATTACATGTTACTGAATATCATTACACCCCCCTCTCCTTTGAGGCTTTTCAGTAATCAACATTTTCTAAGAAATAATAAAGATGATATCAGTAACACAACTTAGTTCTCTATCAAGATTTAGTCTCTTAGGCTTTTTTACCACACCTGTGGATCTCCTCAACACAGTTGAGTTTGGTGTGTTTGTCTCTGAATGTGAGTCTTCTGGTGGTAAGACTTGTCATAATGTCATTTCTGTTTCTGCTTTAACAGCTGGAGTCTTTTTCTCAGTTGTCTGTTCTGTTTTTCCTTTACCCAGCAGGGTAGTGTGGTGTGTAACTTACGAACCCATTAACAGTCCAGAGGCGATGCTCGATAGCTTAACAGAGCAAGATATGGATCAGACATCTGTATTGTTTATAATACATCTTTGGCTGTACTGCTTAAAATTTCTGACATCTGGATTTTCCATTGCAGCATGATCACGATTTCTACAGTTTACATCGTTTGGAGGTAAAACATTATTGATCATTTGTTTGTGATGTGCAATAACACTTCATTTGTCTTGACTTGGAGCCAGAATACATTACACTTTTATGACAAGCTGGGGTTACACCGCTGGTACACGTTTGTTCAGACTTGCTGTTTGTAGCTTTCTTCAGCAGCTGCTTGAGAATGTGGACGCCTCAGCCTTGCCATTTCACTGAGCATACAAGGGACTTGATGTGACAAGTTGAAAGTCAGAGTGCCCTGCAAACTGTTGCCATGTTGCATGGCCCATTGTCACTGACGACAATCCTTGAAATTCCATGTCTGGTGAATATGGATTTGACATGTATTATGACACTGCTTGCTGTTATGCTTGAGAAGTGCCATCTCAGGAAAGTTGGAATAGTAGTCAATCACAATTAAATAAACTTTACCATTCAAATGATAGAGATCCATACCAACCTTTTGCCATGGTGCTGTTGGCAGGTCAGCCACCTTCATAGGCTCTTTTGCTTGTTTATTGTGATTTTTCTGGCAGGTGTCAGTTATTTATCTTAATGTCCACAGTGTCTCTTGCTTTGCGTTTTTCAATTCCGAGGTGTCCCTCATGAATCCTTGTGAGCATTTCCTGACATAGAGCCAACCTGTATGAATGTTCTGTACAACAGTTCTGTGTCTTTTGCTGTTTGTTCTGATATTTGTCTTGATTTTGTGTCTGAAACAGGCAGGGTAGCAGTGATCATGCTCACATGAACTTCAACATCGTCTCCAGTAGAGCTCACATGACACACTGTGGGTGCACTGGATAGTGCATCTGCTAGCACTATGTGTTTGCCTGGTGTGTAGATTAGATCAAAGTCGTATCTTTGCTTCATCATGAGATGCTGAATCCTCGGGAGACATCTCATTTAAGTTCTTTTTTATGATAGCAACCAGTGGTCGATGGTCTGTCTCAACTGTAAAGGTGGGGAGGCCGAAGATGTACCCATGAAACTTTTCCAGTCCAACCACCAAGCCTAGACATTCCTTTTCTATCTGAGCGTACAGACACTCTGCTTGCAGTAAGACTGCGCCAAGTTCATCTTTCGATGCCTCTGTGGACACCTTAATTCTCCTGGTAGGGTCACAGAAGGTGAGTACAGATGTAGTTTTCCCACTCTTGTTCATGTTTTGCTGTCCATGCAAACTCGTTTTCCTTATGTAGGAGGTCTCGCAGGCAGGCAGTCTGCTGACAAGTTAGGAATGAACTTTCCAATGAAGTTGATCATTGCCATGACCCATAGTACTCCTATCTTGTCTGTGGGCCAGGGCATCTCCAGGATGGCATTTATTTTATCTTTATCTGGCTCTATTCCTTGAGCAGACAGCTTATCTCCTAGGAATGTGATTTCCTGGATGACAAACTGACACTTGGCTTTGTTGAGTTTCAGCCCATTCTTCTGGACCCTCTGCAGCAATTTGGTCAGTCTGTCATTGTGTTCCTGTAGTGTAGAGCCCCAGCAGATGATGTCATCCATGTAGACCTGGGCATTGCCTTGGTTGATGCTGGAAACCACACCGCTTGCAACTGAATGTCTCGTCCTGCGACTTCTTTGCATTCTTGTACTGTACATGCTTCTTCCCCGTGAAGGGTACAGCACCAATTGCTGCACTGTCATCAATTGCAGTTGTACCATTATTAATGTCACTGAAAGTCTTAGCATGCTTTCGAGCCAATTCACTGGCATGGCAAATTTTCACAGCATCTTCCAGTTTCAGTTCAGTTTCTCTCAAAAGCTGTTCTCTGACTGTCATATATTCCGACAAGACAATCTGATCACGTATCGTGGACGATTTCCAAATCCGAAAAATTACATGTCTGTGCCTTCAATTTCAGATCTGTGAGAAAGCTATCAAACGTCTCATGTTGCTGCTGCGTCCGTGAACGAAACACATACCTCTCATAAGTTTAGTTTTTCTTTCGGAGAACAATGAGCATCAAATTTCTTTATCACTTCCTACAGTTTCTTGTCATCATCAGGTTGATCAAACACGAACGTGTTGAACGCACGTGGGCCTGCTACGATTAGCAGTAATGCTATCTTCCGTTCTTCTGGTTTAATCTCCAACCCGATCGCCGAGATGTACAGCTCGAATTGCTGCCATGTTGCATTTCACAATTGTCCTTGGCGTAACGTCATTAACTTAAGTAACCAGTCCTGGTACCATGTAATGTTCATTCCTTTTTCAACGATGACACATTGTTGTGATGAACATCTAGCTTGTGCTAGTCATTTTATTTTTCCACCTCATGTTCCGGTGATAACATAAAACACTCCTGCATACGATCTACGCCGTATTATACTTAGGTAGTGTCCGTCATTCTGTAATTACACCCCCAAACGCTAGTCTGCAGTAGCGCTACAGTGTCTACTGTATTGACATTTGCTGGCTGAGCAGGCTAACCTCCGGTTTAGCGCTCCGCTACCATAAATGGGGGTAAAATTGTAAACGTGCGGCTGGTGTAGCCTTTTCAAATGTTACTGACCAAATGGATCACATTCTGATAGCGAAACGAGTCATTTCGCTCGGGTTGCAATGGTCAAATATATTGATTCACTGTGTTACAACCGCCGTTTTAGCCATTAGTAAATGTTACTTCAAAGCGCAGAGTACTTCCGGTCGGCTCGGAGGCATTGCGAGGCTACTCAGCCGACCAATCACACCGCTTACGGTCCGCGTCGACTCAACGTGTAGTTACATTTTTGAAGAGGTGCACGTCAGGTGACGGCGAAGCCTCTGCGTAGCACGTAGCCTACGCCGTCGATTCGACGCAGAAGTATACTTAAGAGTTCCTCTCTCTGAGTTAACACAGAAAATTATCACAGCGCTGCCTTGTGGCTACATGGATATATTACATGTTACTGAATATCATTACACCCCCTGGCAAAAAAAATCTAAATTTTTCACATAATACCACTAGTGTTTGGAAGGGAGAGGAGAGGCAGCAGGCCACCGTCTTGTCACTGTGTGCTGCAACTCGGTGTGTTTTTCCCCTTGGACTACTAACGAGCTGTTGTCAGGCAATTCATTGGATTGTTTTCTGTGGGAGATGGGAACTTCCTTCATGGTGGACTTTGGTCTTTTTCAATTTGCAGACCTATTACATGCACAAAAAAGATATCTAACTCAATAAAGGAGGGGGGGGCAAAAAGCACAAGACCTCTTTAATAAATGTTTTTTGTGCATCCAAACACATTCCTGGCACTTTTACAGTGCAGATGGATCATGGCATAATATATTTGCTAGAGGAAGACCAGGTAATACTTTCTTGACACACTAATGTGAAATGCAAGGACGATAATAGGGGAAAAAAACTTTACGCATAATATTAATATGTATCTTCAGTGGAATTGCAGAATATGATAATAAAAATTTAATCAACTGTAAAACGCAGAATATTGTGGAATCTGCCAAAACGTGGATGCAATTTATAAAAATTTTCCCATAGCATTATAACTTAACACTTAAGCCAAATATACAGAAAATACTTTGCTCCGTGTTTCTCGAAGGGCAGGGCTCAGCGGCTCCTACACACACACACACACACACACACACACACACACACACAGTCATATCGAAGAGAGTCAGCACACTAGCAAGAGCTAGATCGGCATATGCAAGATGCGAGTTCATTGAACACCTATTTAAAAGGGGACAATTCACAATACATGCATTGCTGTTGAAATGCCTGACCTGCCTGCCTTTACCTCACCATTGCTGTGTTTTACCAGAATCAGTGTGCTGCGATAACTGCCGATTCCAAAATTGGTATTGGAAAATGGAAAAAAAAGGACTGCAATGACACCACAGGATATGTCTGTCTTCGAAATGTTGGTGAGCATAGCCTCTCTCTTATGGTCTAGAATGATTTTCTATATTCCAATGTTTCTATCCTATCATTAAGCCAACTTTTATTTTTACCTGATGTTCTGTATTTCCCAAATTGACAAAAGGTAAAAATATCAGCCAAGAATCACCTGCTTGAACAGTGTGCACTCTAGGGTTGTTCTGGGTGCTTGCACTACACAGTAACAGCAGGCATATTGCATATGGAGTGTACATGACTAAGAGAGAAACTCTTATTTGTTATATGTTCTATTTTAGTACAAGTAATTGTCAGTGAGGAAAGAATTCAGGACCCACTTTGCAGTTGTGTTTGACTTTTTAGACACTTGAGATAGGACGGTCAACTCTTTTTACTGACTTGAGGTTGTATGACTAAAGAGAGTCTAGTTTTTAAGTCCCTGAAGTCAACGAGTTAGAAACCCAGAGCTTGGTGAATCCCTCACCGGCCCCAACACCCATTGAGCATACGCACCAGAGACTTTCACCGATTAAGCTGGCTAACTTCAAGTTTAACACTCGTCTAAGTCATATAGGATTAAAACATTTTATTGTGTGGTTCACAATCTGCCAAATGTTATTGGACGAATGGATCAAATTCCATTCGTCCAGATTGTGAAAGGTGTCATTTCACAGGAGTTGTGACTAGGAGTGTGACAAGATCTCATGCCACAAGATTTTGCAATATTAAAACGTGACAATATTTCTCAACAGGGAAAAAGCTCTTGCAAGACTCTCACAATTTACACTTTTCACATGCTGTGTCACGCTACACAATAATTTTTTTCACACAGTGAAAAACAAATATAACCTGCTGAAACAGGAACTATTAAAGTCCAGGGCATTATTACTGAATTAAATTGAATGAATTTATCATTGAGGTGAAAAAGTGTCACATGCACCTTTTTAAAAAGGTTACTTTCCCAAACAAAAATGGAGGGAAGACTAAATCATTCCTGCATGTGTGTGTGTTGACTCAACAGGAATTATATTAAATCAGAAAAGCTGATCTACAGGAGGAAATGTATCTGTGAGCAATACAGAATGCCTGAGAGCCTTGCTATTAGAATTTTAGATTTTTAATTGTCACCTGCCACCTGGACTTTGTTTCCCTTCACATAAATAAAAACAATTCCACCATAAATGGGTGCAGAAAGATTCACCAGAATGCAGTAAATTAAGTGTTTAATGCTCATTATTTTCATATATTTTATTATTGAAGATTTCTTAAAAATAGTGTTTTTACAAAAAAAATGTATCCACTGTTTTACAGATGTTCCTTTTCCACTGATGTGGGAAGTAAGTCCCTTAGATCTATGATCAGCCCAGCATTCATAGCAACACAGTCTGCTAATCAGAAAGACCGTTGGATTTCATGATTGATCGATCAGAATTAAGTAGCACTAAACTAAAAGGGACAAATGTAATTTCATGGAGATAAGGACTTACTTTAGTGACTCCCATGTCAGCAAAAAGAGTTGTTCATTTCAAATGATTCAGTCATGACTCGCATTATTATTATTATTATTATTGTATTGTAATCAAGACTCACCAATGATCAAAAGTATGATTTCAACAATACAAATTTCAGACATGTGTTCTTGATTATACTGTTATTAATTAATTAATTAATTCTTCTCAGAAAAGTGGAAAAGAATAGTAACTGTTAAGTATCAATAGAACAGAGCACCTGAAATTTGTCAAATTTCTCTCCCTGAACAGACGCCTCTCTCCCAGACTCCCCTGAACCAACAACTACAGACTATGTCAAAATATTTAACGACTCTATCAAGGTTGTTACTAAACAAATGACCTGGCAGGAAGCAAAGAAGCACTGTGAGGGGGATGGTGCCAAACTGGCTAACCTGCGAAATGAGTGGACACGGGTCTATGTTGAGCTAATGGCGATAAAAGCTCCTCTGTGGATTGGAGTGAACAAAATGGAGGTACAGGGCAAACTCACTCAGCAAACACGACTAACCCTTGTTTGTAACTTGAAACATTTGCTGACTCCTGTAAATCCATGACATGTAGTATAACATCCTGATTAACAATAACGTACTTGTGTAGATCAATTAGATCCGCAAGAGCTAAAAATTACAAAAGAAAACATGTAACTTTTCAACAATGTGGGAGACTAGCTAATTGTTAGACTTTTTTGTTCAGTTCATAATGGAATTCTTCATAATGACAGTATTTTAAATTAATGATGCTGAATGCAGTTTGATTAATTGTTGCTTTCAGACCTCCGGATATTTCAGATATATTGATGGCTGGCCTATCACCCAAAGCAACTGGGATGCTTTAGAACCAAGAATGAACCAACCCTGTGTGTTTGTGAATGCAGAGGGAAAATGGAAGACTGCTGACTGCAATCAGAACATGACCAGCGTTTGTATGAAGTCTACAGGTAGGGCTCACATACATTTTAAAAAGGGCTGGACGATTAATTGAACATTTATCGAAACCAAAATTCATAGCCTCTAACCAAAGTAATTTTACCACATCTGTTATTTTGGTTACGTGTGTTCATGTACTTTTGCCTTTAAAAACATGATACCCATATGATGTCACATTACTCCTGTTCAGTCCTGCTCAGCTTCCAGACTGGAGTCTGAAGCACAGAGAGATGTTAGCTTGCGCTAACCACCTTCACTTTCCAGCAATTGGAGAAACAACAGACAGACTTTAATTAACGGACACACTGTGACCTACACTGCACATTTACTGCCAGACTGACAACTTACTCGCTCACTTTCACCGTTACTTTCTACCACTTGCTCTCTCACTTCGCTCACTACGCACACACACTGCAGCGCTCTTAAAAACTCTGCTATTTTTAACAGCAGCTGACACGTAGATGTCCTTTGATGAAGGAGGAGAAGAAGCTAGAAAAGTGTTAAATGTTAGCATGCTCACACAGATAAGCGTTTCACGATGGATGGATGGACTAAACAGTACATTCGTTGATCCCATTGTCATCAGTGTCTCTCACATCCACAGATGTGCCACCAACAGTGCCAAGTGATTTCCCTGGAACTTGCCCTGACGACCCAGATTCACCCAGATGGCAGCGTAACAGCTGGTTACCATTTAAGGGTCATTGTTACCTCTTTCTCACAGAAAGGGTTGAGTGGCCAGATGCATCTGCTAACTGTGTCAGACATGGTAAGGATTTTGAATGGATGATCGATACATATTCTTCATCACTAAGCTTTAATTAAGTACCTACTGTTCTATGTGTTTATTTCTTTGTTGTTTATGAAGGTGGAACTCTTGCCAGCATTGAAGATCCTTTTGAGCAAGCCTTCATTAAAAACAGTATCGACAGATACAAAGACATGCACAAATCTTTCTGGATTGGCTTGTATAAAACTCACAAAGGTAAAGTAACATTGTCTACTCTTTCATGAAAACAAACATTGAGCTACACGACACAAGGAAAATGATCTTTGTAAAACAGAAGCTCTGAAACAAAGAGGTCACAAACAATTCCTCAAAATTAGGAGCACCACCTAAAGATTTGCTTGTCTACCCAAGGCTTTAGGTCCTTGAGTATAGCCTGAGAATTACACGAATTTCTGGTAATTCATTAGTTGTTACTGGTTCAGTTATTCTGAAATCGTAATCTCTAGTCAATCAGTCAATCTCAAATCCGAGGGTGAGTTCTATGTATAGGGACTGTAGATTTTTAATAACTCACACACAACATCACTGTGCTCAAGGTGAATTTATTAACTAACAAAAGAGAGTACAATAGTGGGTAAATGTGGTGATATTACAGGGACAACCGTCAATATGACAACCAGGAGGTAATGAACAGGGTGGCCTATGTAAGGTTCGATTGAATTTCAGTTTATATTGTAGAGGAAGAGAATTCTACGAGGGAACGAATGACCGAAATTAGGTTGCAGATTTAGTTTGACTAATCTAGGGGTTTATTAACTGTGGATGGAGCCAACTAGAGAACACAAACGAGTCACAGAGTGTGGTTTGTTTTGCCCTACCATTGCCGCAGGTCGTGTAGCAAGGCTCGACTGTCGGTTGGCTTGTGGAGTTGGTTCTGGCCCGACCCCAGTGGCGTTTTCGAGTTGAGTTAGAAACCGGTGGATTTGTTCCGGAGTCCTTTGTGGGAAGCGCTTGCAGCGCTTGAACGGGCCGTCAGCCCAGGCTTTTACTGTGATCTCAGTTCGTTTGGTGTCGCTATAGCGGAGCCCACTCAGGGTTCTGTCGTCAGAGCCGTGGTTTCATTCATTCAAGGCCATAAATGAAGGCTTCTGAATTTTTTGGTCCAAAGTTGTTCAAAACGATCAGATGAGGTTGCAACAACAAAATCAAATAAACTCACACATTCGCCGTAGGTTTGTGAGGCCCTGGGAATATAGGCTATTTAATGTTGCTGAGATTGAACAGGTCTGGGGAAAGTTTCACCCAGGCAGCTCCAAACAAAAATCAAAAATCAAATCTCCCGCTAACAAAATTGGGATTCAAGGTCGTAGCTTTCTCAGCTCGTCTGAAGAAAATTTAAGTACGAAACGAAAAAAGATCGGAATTTCAAAAAGTAAAGGAAGTTAAGAGAGCGTATACGTTTAGTTTAAAGAGAGTTTTTAGAAGAGAAGAGCAGAGAGAGACAAAAGACAACAAGGCCCTTTTATTTGACTCCATTAGGCAGTGGTGACATCAATTTGGGAGTGGGTCTCAGGGGAAGTCACCCCAAAGGTGTTAACTTTCTTTTGGGATAAAGAAATATACGTTGCACGTATTTTCCTTTAATCTCTCTCTCCACAATATCGACATTTGGAAAAATACTCTGTTCTAAACATTCGGATAAAGACAATTAAAACGAAGCTAAACACTATGGAAAAAGGTTATAATGGTTATATAAACGTAACAAAGCTTAATTACATGTCCTCAGTATACTTGCTGGTTACCGGTTTTAACTCAAGAGACAATTTAGATGTAAGCGTGGCAGCAAAATTTAATTTATGCAATTACATGGTGATAGGTAGGCCTACTTAGCGATCATTGTCAGTGTAAGCCGAGTTTTAAACACTTGCGTGTTATACCTTTCCTGTCCCCTTGGTGGCACTCGGGTCACACGAGAAAACAGTAGACATTCCACTTGTGAGATTTACCACTTTAACTGAGAGGCTGGTGATACACACTGGTATATCAATGGATATTTTAGTAGGAAATTGTATATGAAACATTTAACTAAAGTATTAGTTAATCCTGAACAGACAGTGATTATTAGTGAGTAACAGGGATGAATCAAGACAAAACAGAAAGAGGTTAGGGAACTCTTCAAGATTACTTTCTTATGGGTCTGCTAGTTTTCAAACATCACTAAAAGGATAACAACGGGGTCATTACTTACTAAACTCAGAGGCAAACGCCACTGAACCTTGCTTGGTTCGAGAAACAGGGGTTGTCTTGCTGGCTTATCGCATTGGCTATTAGAGAACAAAATGGTGGTTTATGGCTAAGCCGCTCTGTGGAGAGAAAAGAGTCAGGTTGAGGCCGGAGCTGACCTGCGGGAGGGAGAAAGGGGTCAGATAGCCCCTTTTCCTGTCCTATTGACTGTCTTTAGTGACACCTTTACGGCCAGGGGGGTTCACTAAGGCTCTTTGAATACACAATCCTTAAGCGATGCATTGTCTGATAGAGTCTCTGCCGGTCCTTACCAAACACCAGGCAATGACTCTGGTTTTTGCATGTGAAAAGGTCAACTCTCTTCCCTCCCTCTTTTGACACCATCTGACCTTCTTTGAAGTGCGTCTGCTTGAGTTCACAACAATATTCAGAAATATTATTGTCTTAAGCACTCGTTTTGGGGCACCACCTGAATTTCTGTTCACCCAAGGCTTTCAGGATGCCTTAGGTATGGCTTAATAATTACACAATTCTTTACTAGTGATCAGCTAGTTAATAATTGCTTAATTATTTTAAATCAGTTTAATCAATCAGTCGGTCTCAAATCAAAAGGTGAATTCTCCGTCCAGTGACGCGGAGTTAAACAGTACACACACACAGTTCCTGTGATTAAGGTGAAATTTATTAACTAACTAAAGTGAATACATAGTGAGGTTAAATATATCAAAGACATAAAACAATACTGATTAAACAACTAGGAATGTAATCAATGAGATTAATGGAGTTCAATTTGAATTTTGTAGTCCTATTGTGGGAAAGAATTTGATTCTAAGGGAATAAGAGACAAATGGACCCGAGTTATGATTGTAACTAAGTTAAATTTGGCTAGGAGTTTTAGGCTAAAGGATTACAGCTAAAGCTAAAGGATTAAAAGCTAGAGGACATCAACTTGGCCACAGAATGCAGGATTTTGGTTTTGCCTTACTGCGTGTTGTTTATGCCACCATCTGGATGACAAAGGCTCACTGTCGGCTCATTCGTTGTGTTTAGGGCCTCCGTGGCTTGGCACGTGTGGTGTCCAGACAATAACACTGTTCTTGATCATAAAAGTTTATTACATCAAAGAGTTCAGCATCAAGCTCTGCAGCAGCTTGGAGAGTGACCCAGCCCGATGGCCACTCCGTCTCTCTGTACATCAAACATAGCTTATATAGGATATGTTTAGGTATCTGTTAGGTACCATAGCAGGGTTTGAGTCTGCAAAATAAAAGGTCAAACCCATAGAAGGGTACAGTACTATTCTGAGGTAACAAAACAAGGAGTTAGAAGTCAAATTCTATAGAAGGGTTCAGTCCCTACATAACCACCAATCACTGCTCTCCCCGTAGAAGGTCACTGACCCTCTGTCCTGCTGCTACAGTGCTATTTTGAACTGTTATGAGTCAAATGCACAAGCACTGGACACTACACACGCCACACAGCCTCTCGAGCGGGTTTTGAGCCGATGGGGTTCTCCCGGAGTACTTTGGCTGGCTGGTGGTTGCGGAAAAACTCTCGCAGTGCTAGGGCGTTGACCTGGCTTTGTTCAAAAGTAAAACATTAATGTTGCATACAGGGCACACAAAATCTAAACCTGAACGAGAAATGTTGTTAAGGCAAATATTTTCATATTCATAATGGTTAACTGCAGGGACGTACCTCTTGCTATACAAAACATCCATATATTACACTTCAGATAAGTTGGAAAGAGTAATACAATATTGTACACAAGTAAAAGTACTGTTACTTTAAAATACATTTTACTATTTTATTGAAGTATGTGTAATATGTACCTACATAAAAGTAAAGTGTGGGTAAGTTAAAATGAAAATGTTTAAATGAGTTAGCAGTATGGAAAAATGATAATATATGATACTACTGTTACATATTACTGTTAAATATCATCTTTAGGCTACAAAATAAATTGCATTAAATGTCAGCTTACATGCTAGTGGAACAACATAGCAACATGAGCACTGATGTCCAAACAAACAATAAATAACTTTTCTATATATGGCACTTTGCAGCCTGTGAATACAACTGATTATCAATTATATACAACCACCTTCCTGAATAGCCTTACTAAAATTAAGTAGACAAGAAGACAAAACTCTGACAAACACAGAATAAACAACTGACAGTAAAATATCCAACCTTTATTTATTTATTTATATATATATATGTGTGTGTGTGTGTGTGTGTGTGTGTGTGTGTGTGTGTATATATTATAAGCCACATAAATTAAATAGACTGACACTAGTTGAATCGACAGTAGAATAAAACATCACCACGGAAGGAAACATGGCACTGTAGACAAAAAAGTCCACAGCAGCTACAGCTACAAACACGCTTAACGCAAAGGAGAGACTGCACAGTTTTTGCACAATGTGTAGCACACACACACCGCTATGTTGATGCAGTGGTTTGACAATCTCATTAGAAGAGTGAGTTTGGCAAAAATACATTTGATCAACAAAAAATGAGGAATGAACTATTGAACTATTGAACATCCAATGCAAAACTCTCCGCATCTCTCTCTGCTGCTCTGCGACTCCGCTAAGCTCCACCCACCAAACCCACAAGAAGGAGTTGGTTGCCCTGTGAAACCACATTCCACGTAGGACAAGCTCTTCTTGGTGAGAGTCTAGCCAAGATGTAAGACCAGTTTTTACCAGTTGTGGGTCACAAGCGTGGAGACGCCGCAAAAACTGTAACATTTTACTTGGATCACCTCTCAAATCGAGAAAAAGATAAATATGGACACAAACTGCAAGCGTTGGGCACTTGCGATCCATAAACGGCACATGCTGCCGTATTTCCGCCGTTAAAACCCGCCAGGTCCCTGCCGCCGCTCGACTGCGGTAATGTTTATGTTTAACTTGTAGGGAATCACTCATCTAACATAGCCCAGACTTGTCTCCTTGTCGATTAGTAAAATATCGTCTTTTTTGCCCTCCAAGGGAGCGATGTGACGTCACATGAAAACTATGAATTGGCCTTCACCCAGAACATTCCACAATGAATTTTTTGAATTTGCATCTGGGGTGAATGTAAACAGCAGCAAACAGATGATAATATGAAAGTTTCATCTTCACAATAAACCGTCTGACATTTGGGAAACAGAGTCACTTCCTTTCACCTTGCCGGAGTCTTGTGCTGACAGCTCAGAACATGGACCACCTGCCAAGGGCTTGATTCGGAATGTTAATGGGGCAGGTCTCTGCAACAATGTGGGCACAACAGCCTCTGAATATCGTTGCTTGGTCAACATGGGTCCCATTTTGTTCAGACCGTCCAAGCTGGGCCAGCATGGCTCCTCTCCTGGCTCTCTTTCCTCTCCCCTGAGCACTCACCAGATCGTGGTCTGCTGCTCTTTAATCGAAAAAACCCTGTCTTCATCTTCCAATGACTGTATTTATGTATGTATTTATAGGTAACACATGTGTTGGCAATAAAGCCAGAAAAGGCAGATAAAAAGTGTATCTTTCAGACTGACAGGCAACAAAAAACAAAAGAAAAACCTGGTGGTGAACATAGTGGAGCATTAAGCAACCAAAGAGTAATATATTTCCCTTCAGTTTGGTTAGGATTAAAACAGGGTAAAAAGGATACTGAATATTGGATTTGCATCATGTAACTGTTGCTGTTACAGTGATAATATGTCAACGTTTGAAATGTTACACTAAGATATTTTGAAAACTTCAGTGTTGCAAAATCTTGTTTCCATTTACAATGAAAGAAAAGATATTGAGTGTTAAATTGGTACAAAAAGGAAACTCCGGAGAAAATAAATACTGAAATTGTTTTTGTATCCAGGCATGTGGATGTGGTTGGATAAAACCGCCATGGACTACACTAACTGGGGTGAAGGTCAATATTCTAGCAACAGTTATGGAGCAATTCAAATTGCAGATGGAAGATGGTCGACAGGTAGACCATGGTATGACAGACCATATATTTGCAAAACCTCCAAAGGTGAGACCATCATACTTATTAGGAATAACTTGAATTCAAGTTGGTTTTTTGGTTGTTGTTTTTTTACAATAATAAGGAATGTGTAACACATATACTGTTAAAACTCACAAATTAAATAAAGAATATATAAATAAATGAGTTTAATGTCAGTGAAACAATACAGAAATCATACACTTTTTGCAAAGTTTTTTGATCATGTTTATCTTTTTAGTATTACATCCTGCACCACCAACAATTGGTAAGTTACATCTCTTTATCTTTTTTATGTGAATCATAATTATATTATATATTATGTATTTCTTCTGACTCATCATCTACATGTTGAATCTGTACAGTAAGTCCTGGGGTGCATCATCAAAGCCGTGGACACATCATTTTGGCAGTTGCCCTGGTCATTGCTGCGATTGCCGTAGGCCTGGTCATCGTCTTATTTCTCTTCAAGAAGTCCGGCCGCCGCTTACCTATCCCTGACCATTTAACAACCTTTGACAACCCACTCTTCTTCAACAATGAGCGGTCTCAGCCTGATCTTGTCGACACCAGTAAACTGGTAGCAAATGCAGAGGAAGAGACTCCTGGCCCTGTTAAAACTGTCTGATATAACACCAACAGAATCTACTGATCCACAGTATAGGCAGAGGGTTGATGGCACTCATTTGCATGACTAAGAATTCTGCTGTATACCTGCTAGGATTGTGAAATGTTTACTAGACAAGGCAAAGAAATGTTTTCCTGCTGGATCATAGTAAGACAGACAGTAACCATTGCATTTTATCAACCATAAAGGTATTTTAGATTACATTGTGTGTGGAAATCCTGGTGAAGATATGTCTTACAGCTGAGAAGTTCAAGTTGTTTTGTTTTCATTTTGTAGAGTGTTTACAATTTAATTTAATCACTTCTCAGACACAAATATTGTACTTTTATATTTTTCCCTTTAATCTGCTGGTGGTTGTTGTTACTGCTTAGTCTTTAAGGTTTTACGTAAAAAATAAACACTGAACATTGAATCATCTTTTGAATTCATAATAAATTTTAAAATGTTTACAGAGAACCAATAAAATAACATGGAGAAACAGGATAAGGACAACGCTATTAGAGGAAGACATCTAAGATCTACCAAGAGGCTTCTAGCAATGGGCAATTTATGTGGAGTCCCAGTTAAAACAATTCACTTTTCTTCTTGATGCTAGCTTGTGTTTAACAGATTAGGCTGAGAATTTAAAACTGCATCAATTGATTGAAAAACAGTTGAACACACAATATAATCACCATATAAAGTTATCATGGAGAGTCATACTATTTTCATAATATAAGAGATGGTAACATAAGTTAATGAAGCAAAGAGACTTAGCACTGAAGGCAAAGGCAAAGGCATGTTATGACTAACTGACAGGGAATCCCTGCCCTTTAACCTCTGTGGGGTCATTATAAAGGTGATGGATACCACTAGGTTCATTAGTGTTTCTAGTTGTTGTAATGATAATGTCGTTGTGGTCGTTTGAGTTGAGTGAAGCCTCAAATCTGAACGATCATCGTTGGCACTGTCACATGATGCCATATGTTAGCAAGCAAGTCCAGGTGCCCTTGATTTTAACCTTGCTTGGATAACTATGACCTGGATTGACTGAGAATCTCCACAGATGTATATGTTTGCATGAAAAACCACCAATGCATGTATACTTATCCTCAGTATCAATCTGTATAGCATGTTAGGCTTATTTCCTTTTATAAATGATTTCTTGTCAGAGGTACACTTCACGTGCAGCAATAAGTAGCTAACTATGAACAGGACTGCTCAAAGAGAGTGATCAAAAGTTCACTCACTCACAGATTTTGTCATGGTCACATAGCTGGTATTGTCCTGTCGATTGGTTGCTGAACCCTGGGAAGTCAGGTGTTGTCTGGTGGAAGAAAGCACAAATGCAAGAGCATCATGCTACAGAATTGAAACTCTTTTGTTAAAACTGTGATAGAAAATAAGTAATAGCCCTCCTCCCTTAAGTATTTTGGTTTAGTTTATGTATGTGTTTACCCTAAATGAACTGAAAGCAACAGCAAGCTGTGAGCAGTCACTGTCTTTTTGCGGGGCACCAGAGGACGCAAAAATAAGGATCAAGATGGCGCCGCTGCGTTTGGCTCGCCGACATTGTCCCAGCCAGGATAGTGAAGGAAGTTTTTAATAGCGCCATTGGGTCGAGTCTACTCACGTTAATTAATTCTTGTCTTAGTCTAGGTTGTGTCCCAGCTGCATTTAAACATGCTGTGGTCAGGCCCCTACTTAAGAAACCAAATCTTGACCCTTCAGTGTTATCTAATTTTAGACCAGTTTCTCATCTGCCTTTTCTGTCAAAGGTCTTGGAAAAGTTGTTTTTATACAGCTACAAGCCTTTATGCAGAAAAATTCTGTGCTTGAAAAATTTCAATCTGGTTTTAGATCACGTCATAGTACTGAGTACACAATGACATTGCCTTGTCTGTGGATGCCAGGAATCCTGCTGTTTTAGTGCTTTTGGACCTCACGGCGGCGTTTGATACAGTGGACCATGAAGTTCACCTCTCTCGCCTTGAGCATGATGTAGGCATTCGTGGTTTGGCTCTTCAATGGTTTAGCTCCTATTTGGCAAATAGGAGCTTCTCTGTTATGATTGGTGAATGCTCTTCGTCAGCTGCTCCTCTTTTTTGTGGGGTACCCCAGGGTTCAATTCTTGGCCCAATCTTGTTTTCTTTATATATGTTGCCATTAGGGAGTATTATAGGAAAGCACAACCTGTCCTTTCACTGTTATGCCGATGATTTGCAGATTTATTTGCCTTTAAAAACGAATGTTAGTGTCGCACTAGACTCCCTACTTAGTTGTATTAATGATATTAAGTTGTGGTTGTCACAAAATTTTCTTAATTTAAACAAAGCAAAAACTGAGTGTATCATCTTCAGTAACACAAATGGTTCAGCAGTGAATTTGGGGGCTCTGGCTCCATACCTTAAGCCTGCTGTCAGAAATGTGGGGGTTACTTTTGATTGCAACATGAAATTTGACATGCAAATCAGTAATGTTGTCAAAATGAGTTTTTTCCAGCTTCATCTTCTATCTAAAGTTAAGCCTTTTCTTAACAGGCATGACCTAGAAAAAGTGATTCATGCCTTTATTAGTTCGAGGTTGGATTATTGTAATGCTCTTTATGTTGGTTTAAATCAAAGCTTCACCTCACGACTTCAACTTGTGCAAAATGCTGCTGCTCGGTTTTTAACAAATACATCTAGGCGTGCTCACATCACTCCCGTCCTCTACACTTTACATTGCCTCCCAGTGCAGTATAGAATAAATTTTAGGATTTTGCTGTTCGTTTTTAAGGCCCTAAATGGCCTGGCCACGGAGTACTTAGCTGAGATTTTAACCCTGCATGAGCACAGCCGGTCGTTATGGTCTTCAAACCAATTGGTTTTAGAAGTCCCAACGTCGAAGTATAAGCGATGGGGTGATCAGGCGTTTGCAGTTGCTTCTCCGAGACTCTGGAACAAGCTACAACCTGATATTCGCACAATTGCAGATGAAACTATTTTTAGGTCTAAACTTAAAACCCACCTGTTTAGAATGGCTTTTAATACGCAGTAGTGGTGTGACAATTTACTTTTTCTTGTTTCTTTTTAACTTTTCTTTTCTTTTTTTGTTATATGTATCTATTGTATGATATGCTGTTTTATTATATTCTATGATATGAAGCACTTTGGATACCTTACGGTTGTTGTAAAGTGCTATAGAAATAAATGTTGATTAAAGACAAGCAAATATTGTTAAGCAAAATTATTAAAGAAATAGAACAAGTCTGGGTAAGGAAGCGGAATGACCAAATTAAACCTAAAAAAATACTGTAATAAGCCTATATTTTTAGCTTTTTTTGAAGTGTACAATGTATCTCCACCTTGGTTGCTAATACCCTCAACTTACCAGGAAATGACCTACTGTTCTTCTTGCAAAACTGTGTCACAGTATTATGATTTCAATTTGAAAAAACTGTCATGTCAAGGACAAATTCAGTGGTCTGGCCAGTAGTAAAGAAGGTAATGATATCTTTATATAAAATTACACTTAACACATTCTTCATTATATATTTTAATGATCTTCAACAATAGACTGCATATTTGTCAAAATTAACTTCTGGATGCTGTACAAAACAAATCTTTTTTGAAAGGAACGTAATCAATTCAGTCTCAACTCAAAACAATCATACACAGTAGGACAGGTTCTACCAAACAGTGCAACAGGCTCTCTGGTTCTCCTTACATTTACCTAACAAGGCAATTATGAAGTATGTACAAATGCATAGAGATCGTATTCAAGCAATATATTTTATCACAAGAAGATGCATAGAGTATCCAGCACATAGCACAGGTCAGTGTCACCAAAAGAGTTTTCATGCTTCCAAACAGAGCAAATGCAAGTCAATAAATATGCTTGAACACCATTTAGAAAAGTAGGAAGCAAAGTATGACTTCCTTTTAGAATCATATACAAAAATAGTTTGACTTTCCTTTCCAATGTTTAAAATAAATTGTTGGCTTTTGACTATATACTGGTTTGAACATGGGGCAGAATCAGATATGACACTGAAACACACAAGTCTGTTGTTCCCCACAGTTATTTGACCATTTTATTAGACAAAACATCCCTTTGTGTAACTCTGTAGAAAAAAAAAAAATCATAAAAAGGCATTAATTGTGCTGAAGTCAAGAACAGCCGTTGTTTCAGTAATTTATTTTTATCCTGTTAACTCAAGATGATGATAATAATAATAGTTCATTATTATGTCAGGATAACAGTTGTTTTTCTAGTGATAACATTGCTTGGACTACAACTAATGATTATTTTCATTATTGATTAATCTTCCTTTTACTTTCTTGATTAATCAGTCTGCCATTTGGTCTATAAAATGGCAAAGATTGTGAAAAAGTGCCCATCACTATGGCCAACCAAGGTGATGTCTTCAAATTGTTAGTTTTGTGCGACCAACAGTCCAAAACAAAAACATATCCAATTTTTATATAAAACAGCAAATCTTACATTTGAGAGGCTGAAACAATTAATCAAATATGAAAATATTTCTTAAAAATCTCTACACAGGGTATTTATCTTGGGGAAACAAGTTGTCTCTCAAAATGCACTCAGTTGCCAGTTTATTAGGCCTACAGAAAGCTGAGATGTGTTAATATTATTTTGTCCACCCCATTTATATTAATTAAGGCTAAATAATATTAATAATAATAAACAGAAACACCTATCAGTGTAACGCAATACACTTTCAACAGCACCACACGTGACCCCGAGACAATGAATATAATAAAATTATTGCAACCATGACTGTTCTTGGACTCTGTACATTTGCTTGACCAAAGCAAAATTAAAAACTTCTGAACAGATGCTGCATGAGCAAACCATTGACATTCAAAAATAGACCCAGAGCCATATGAAAAAGGTAAAACTAAGACAGGCAAGTGAAAGAAGGACAAAGTGCATGAGTGTACAAATAAAAAACAGCAAACAATATGAGGAGAAACACTGTCTACAAAGATGACACACTCTGCCTCGTCCATTAGTGCATTATAACTTGAGCAGCATAAAACCATGCAGCAACCCACAGAAGGAACCACTAGTGTATATAGGAATCTCTGTGCCATTGTCGTGCATCTCTGTCTCTATCTCTGTCTCTATCTCTGCCTCTATCTCTATCTCTGTCCCTATCTCTATCTCTTTCTCTGTCCTTGCGTCTGTCTCTGTCTCTGTCCCTGTCTCTGTCCCTGTCTCTGCCGTAGTAGTTTTGATGATTGTGTGCAGGATAGTGATCTGTGTGGTGTGTCCGTGGAGGAATATGCTGGTGGTGCCTGTGCTGCCGGTTGCGTTCATTGTGCTCCTGCTCATAGTCCTCACCGACTTGTGGCTGGCTGTTCCCACGGTGATGATGGTGGTGATGATGGTAGTTGCTGTTATGATGGTGGTGGTTATGGCCCCGGT